AAAAAGTTCTATGTGATATGAGAAACCAAGTGTCCTTGAAGGGTCACGATTGGAGCGTGTGTGGCCTGTTAGGATGGCAGATGGGGCATTCGCCCTCCTCGGCACACATTTCACACAGCACGGCGTGTTGGCACTGTAACACCACCCGGTTCTCCTCCTGACACTTAAGACATTTCACTGATTGCATCTGAAATACTGCCTGCAAGAGAGGACAAAGCAAACCACAATCCATCAGAAACAAGGGAGGTGTTGGGGAGAAGGGAAAGCCCCTCCACCTGCACGTGGCTGGGTATGTTCCCATCAGCGTTATCAAATGAAAATGAGACAGCACATGCTGGTGTATTGACAGCTGGGTTCCGGGATACTTTTAGGTTCTATTCCCTGACCTACTTAAGATTTAAGCTCTAGCCTGGCCTCGGGATCTGTAAAGACCAGGCTACAGCATTTGTTTAACCTAGTTATAACTCAGTTTGATTATATCCACTAAGCTGAGCAAAAAAGATCAAATGGAAAGTAAGAGGTAAGTGGAATGCTCCCACCCCAAGGTCCCTCATGCTCACCTTGTCGACTTTCTCCAGGTTGGCGCGCAGCTGTTTCTGTAGGGTATACAGTGTGGAGAGCGAGAGAGTCTCTAGGTCAGAAAACGAGCGCAGGATCTGGGGGTCCTGGCCTGCATGGATCCTTTCCAGCTCCTCCTGGAGTTTCTTCACTTGCAGCTCCAGGGCTTCCCTCTGCTCCCGGGCCAGCTCACATTCCATGTTGGCTGTGCTGGCACGATCATTCGCTTCCTCTGCTTCCTTCTTCCAAGCGTCACATGCCTGCAAGTCCCAGGGGGAAAAAGAGTCAGTGTAAACTCCCTTTTACTAACCAATTTAAATTCAAAACAATATACCAACATGTCATCTACACCCCCTTAAACTCAGTGGGTCAGACTAAGGAGGTGTGCACACTGGCATAACTTTAATCCTGAGAGACCAGAAGAGAGGTGTGGCAAAAATAAGTGGCTAATTGAAGGATATAAGAAAGTGCAAGTTAAAATCAATGCCAGTATCTCCAGTAACTAAGGTCTTATCTACATGGGAAAGATGCACTGGTTTAACCAAAGGGGTGCAATTTTATACCAATTTTATTAAACTGATGTGAGTCCCTATATGGAGATTATTTCTGTTTAAAAGTGGCTGATTTCAGTTTAGCTTAAACAGATTCCTAATTGATAAACGAAAACGAAATATATTTGCTTTAAACTGAAATACAAAATGTCCACACAGTCTTTTGTGCCACTGCAACAAAATCAGTTTAAGATGGCACCTTTTGTTAAACCGGTGCAACTTCAGTGTGTATATAAGGCCTTAGACCATTCCAGCTCCTAACCATATCAGCTCTCCTTCCCTTATCCCTTGGTAAGTGAGTGTAAAGAGGCTTAAGGGAATCTGGTTCTAAAAGGCTCTGTATTACAGCACTTTACCTTCCCTCTAAGTTTGGAAAAGCCTCTTTATCTATGCCTTGACATCCCAATGCCACATCCCAATGCCGCATCCCTTCCAAATTGCATTGTACCTGTTTGGCTTGTTTCCAGGACTCCTCCCACTGCTTAATTGTGCTGTTGGCTTCATCCAGTTCTTGTCGCAGTCTCGCCAGCTCAGCAGCACCTGGACCTGACAGAAACGCAGGTGAGGTACTGGGCGAAAAACTCCCAGAAGCAAAGTGCTCCCATATGCTGCTGTTCATCCCATTTAAACCTGTTTCACGAGGAGACAGAGAGGGTTAGGTCACAGGTTTCCTCACTTGCTCCCTGTCCCTATGAAATCCAGGGCTCAAGTTTAGGAGGCAGATGAATGATTTAGGAACCAGTTCATTCCTTCAGGAGATGGTCATCCATTAGGGGACAGCAGTGCTCACAAACTGAAGATAACACAACCATTAGGTAACTAAGCGTGTAGTTTGGGAATGGACATCTCTGGCCTCAAGAAATTAAAAAAAAAAAAAAAACGCAGAAGCTCCCTTTGCATGTGGCTTTACCTCCACAGGCTACCAGGGGGAGTTTTTCAATCAAGTTAGCTTATCCAAACTGAAATTCCCCCCTCCTCCCTCCTCCTAGTCACACCCGTGATACACAGTTTAACTTCCTCAAGATCACTGCAGCTTGTCCCGCAGTAGCAGTTAAGCCTTACGCTACCTCAACACTTCTCAAACGTCATTGCACTGCGACTCCCTTCTGACAACAAAAATTACTACACAACCCCCTCAGGGAAGGGACCAAAGTCTGAGCCTGCCTGATTCCCATGCAGGGGGACCAAAGCCAAGGGCTTCAGCTCCAGGCAGGGGCCTAACCTAAGCTTTGCCACCCAAGGATGAAGCTCTTGGGCTTGGGTCCTGGGTGCTGTGTTTTGAACCCCAGATAGTGGGGCTTGGTCCTGGGCCTCAGTTAATTTCAGTGACCCACTTTGGGGGCCCTGACCCACAGTTTGAGAACCACCTATTAGCTTGACTGCAAACACACACTTGGTTTGCCTCTGTAGACAAAGCCAGGTGTGACTTCTCCTTTGCATTCCACAGTAAGCAAACCAGTCCCACGCATGCCATTTCCAAGTATTAAGAGGGCTGTGATCTAGCTATGGCACATGCCTAGCCTGGCATATTCAAACACATTTGCCCACTTATAATAGGATTCAAAGCCTTGGGTGATCTAGTGGAAGGAAATATGATGAACAAGGCCACATGTTGGTCATGGAATCCAGGATTTGTGCCTTGCCAACAAAAAAGGAGCTATTTACTCAGAATGAGCCTCTGCTGCTCCCATCCAGGAAGAATCAGGAAGAAGCTGAGGAATGACTGGTGCACACGGAGCAGAGAGCTCTGGGGACTCAGGCCTTGTCTGCTCACCAGCTTGCACCAGTTTAACAAAAGGGTTGTTTAAAAGTGATCTAGTTTAAAGTGATTTAGTGGCAAATTCCTGTGAATACACTCTTACGTCAATTTAAACTTAGTTTATACAGAGTTTCTCTCATTTCAATTTCTAATTACATTCAGCAGAATTTATATAAATCAGGTTTAAATCAATGTAAGAGCGCCCACGGGCGCTACGTCTACATGTTCTTTTTTTTGCAGAAGAGGCAATGCAAATGAAGCGCTCATTAGCAACTTCTCACACTTCGTTTGCATATGTCTTCCAATGCTTTTTGCAGAAGTGTTTTTTGCGCAAAAACAAGCAGTGTAGATGGGTCTGTTTTGTGCAAAAAAACCCTTTTGCGCAAGAATACTTATTTCTCAAAAAATGAGGTTTACAGGTTCTCATGCAAAAGGGTGTTTTTGTGCAAAACAGACCCGTCTACACTGCTTTTTTTTTGCGCAAAAACCTCTTTTGCAAAAAGCGTTGGAAGACAATATGCAAATGAAGCACGAGAAGTTGCTAATAAGCACTTCATTTGCATAGCCTCTTCTGCAAGAAAGAGGTAGTGCAGGCAAGCCTATAGAGGTTTGCACCAGTTTAATGCAAATTAATTTAAAGACCGACTTTAAATTAAACCAATGCATGCAGATCAGCTCCCAGAAGCAAGGCAGAACACATCTCAATGAGAGGCAGCATTCAAGAACCAAGAAGCTGGTTACCCTTGCTGGGCATCTCAAACCCAGTAGCAGCAACTGGTAGGGTTGCCAGATGTTTGAAACAAAAATACTGAACCCCTCCCCCCGCCCCCCCCCCCAAAAAAAAACGGGAAAAAATTCTGTTGAAGGGAAAAGGAAAAAAAAGGGAGGGAGATCAAACTTGCTGAGCAAAAAAAAGAACTCCAAGGACTTATTAAGCCAAAAAAAATTAAAAATAAAACAGCATTAAAACAGCAGGTCCCCTTTAAAAGTGAGTGCAGGGATAGGAGCGGTTGAGCACTAAGACCCAGGGGAAACCATTGCTTCCCTTAGGTCTTTTGCCTGGCAGCCTTGGGGAACAGGTAAGCATGGGGGCTGGGGGTGTTGGGAGCCCAGAGGGGCGGGGGGCGGGGGTCAGGGGGCTGGGGGTGTTGGGAGCCGGGGGGAAGAGAGGGAAGGCCGGGCGCTGAGTGTTTGTAGGGTTGCCAAGTGCCCGGTATTTTCACCTCCTGGACAGGGAAAAATTCAGAAAATACCAGACATTTTAGGTGTCAAGTATTCTCTGATTTTTTTTTTTTTTTTTTTTAACCAGACAGAAGCCAAAAATACTGGACTGTCAGGGTGAAATCTTGGACTCCTGGAAACCCTATTTTGTGTTTCTATTGTTTCTTCCAGGGGTTGTCTACACTAGAATGATGTACCACTTTAAATTCTAAAAGCAACACAACACCCTCTAGTGCACATACAATTATAATTGTGGAAAGGTGCTTTAAATTGGTATAGGTTAATCTGGTATGGGAAGGGGAATAAACTATACCATGCCAGGCACTTTTAAAGCAGTATAACTGCATCCACACCAGGGACTGGACTGCTATAATTATTTTAGGAAAAAAAAATCCCACTCCAGCTGACATAGTTATACTGTTCAAAAACTGTCCCTGGTTTCCCACAGCTCCCACCTCCTGTCTCTAAGGAGGGAATGTCTTTCTATACACCTTCCTGCTGGTAAAGCAAGAGAATCAGCGGCAGGGGGAAGGGAGCCCTGCAAGAAATGTAATGTTTTATTTTCATTACTGTTCTAGGTTTCTTGAAAGGGAGTTTGCCATGCTCTGGTTGCTGGTGTTTTGATGCCACAGTCTGTCATGCTGAGCAACGAAGTCATATTGTTTCCCTGTACTCCTGTTCCTGTCTGGCTCCATCAGTTGTCTCTTGTCCTGGACTGTAAGGTCCCTGAGGCAGAGACCATTGTTTCTGTTTATACATCAGTTAGCACTATAGGTCCAGGGCTAGGGCTCCTGGTCACCATTTTCATCATACATTCTGCCTCGGCTGCATTCAATGAGCAAGTCCTACATTCCAAAACGGTAAGTTACTATGCCAAGAAACTTTATCAAAAGCTGAAAAGACTCAAACTACCCCCACTCCTCTGTTCGGTTCTAAGATGTATTTTGCTTTTTAAAATATTCTGTTCTCTAAATGCATTTTGCAATTTTATTCCATTCATTTGATTCTGCACTCGTCTCGACAATATGGTTCTATGAATACAAGCTATTTAACACTTTTCTGCTAAAATAAAAAGTATAGCTTTATTCAAATCCTATTTTGTTACATTTCCCTTTTCCTACTGAAACTGACTTTTCCCATGATAAAAACCAGCTGTAATTAAATACAGCTGCCTTCTGATATATCTTTACTCTTTAATGTCATTGTATAATCCATTCAAAAGACTTAAAAGGCTTCTCTGAACAAAGAATGTGATTACAAGGAATGAGACACAGCGTTGTTAGATGCATGAAGTAACAGATTAACAAAGCATTTATCAACTTTACTGAGATTTAACCATGGAAATTTACAAAATATTTTAAAAAATGATTTGATTTCTTGAAATATCAAGACATTTTTCACAGCTCCTGCTACCCCATTCTACCTATGCTGTGCCCCTCACAGCTCTAAGTGTAGCGGTCACACCTTTGCAAGTGGAGGTGGGGATGGACGGGAATGTGGCTGGAGAACTGTTGCATTCTGCTGAGCCTAGGTTATGGAATGGTAATAGGAGGGGAACTGCAGCGGGGTAAATTGTGAAGTATGCTTGAGGCTGCTCTTTCCACAGGGGGCCAATCCAGCTCCCAGAACTGAAGGTGGCCTAAAACCACCTTCCCTTCTCCACTTCAGCTTAGGTGTGCTGAGGATCTAAGCTATAATCACTTGCCCTGAGCAGAGAGAGATGCAGTCTATTTGTCTGAGCACAAGATGGGGAGCCAGTAACTCCCAAGTTCTCACCTCAGCAAGTCATCATTTGCGCTATGTGAACCTGGATTAGTCACCTAACCTTTCTTCTTTAATTTCTCTGACTGTAAAATGGGGATATTTGCTCCCACTAACACAGAAATGTCAAGAAGGTTCATTAATTACATGTCGGTAAACCAGCTTGCAGTACTGTTGTTATTATGGGAAGGAGAGGTATAAATGGCAATAGTGAAATAAGACACTCAAATTAAAGTTAACTTAAAAGAAAATACTTACATGGTATAGACATGTATGTACATGTAACACTGTACATGTATGTACACTGTGCATTTACCTAATGATCCATGAGAAGCTGATGTCCCCAAGAATGTGTTTTCTGACTGGCTTAAGTGTCCCTGGGGCTGATGGAGGAAATGCGATGAGAGGCTGACCGGTGGAGAAGGAGAGGCAGAGTGAAAAGAGGCAGAACTTCCAAGGGACCCAGGGATATTTACAGGAGCAGAACTCTGCAGCAAACTCCCACCTGGACAAAGAACACACAAACAGGATGGGAATGCATGATCATGAGGTATGGGCTAGAGCACAGCACAGGAGTTTAGAACAGCAGAGGTTAGCTTATCAGAAAGTAGAACCCTGGAATTTCCACCATTGCCCTTCTACATTACACGGCTCTCAGCCTTCAGCTGGGGCACTACATCAGCAAACTGGCCAAGTAGGACCAGATGTGATTCCCTTCAGAGTGCACCCTACACCAAAGACTGCGAGTCAACTGGCCAAACCAGGGAGAGGCACTCCCTCCAGGCCCTGATTGTACTTCCCCTGCAGAGTTCCCTATAGAAAACCATTTGTTTTAGCTATCAAGTGAGCAGCTTTGAAATGAAAATTCACTTGCAAAATTTGCTCTCCCCCCGGCTTTTTTTTTTTAAATACAGGTAAGCTACCAGGAAGAGAATCACACCACAACTTGGTCAATCTAAAATGGCAACAGGCTTCAGCTGTATGTGAAAACTTCCATGTAAGCAATAACAGAATCACACTCCCCTGAACATCACACCTCCTCGACTTCACCAGAGAGCAGTCTTCTCCAGCTGCACGGACAGCTCCAAAGAGTTCTCTCACACCTCCCCCCGCCACTTTCCATTTTGTACAGCTTTACAGGGAATAGTTGGCACCCAGACCTAAAGGGAGTGGCAGAAAGATCACCATTCTTCTAATTCCATGCTTCTTGTCTCTCCAGGCCAGCAAGGCTGAGCTGTGGCAGGAATGGGGCCCTCAGAGCACACCATCTCTGGAGGTTGAAGCAGTATGATGATCCTTTGAGGGGGGTTGGATCTAAAATTGCCCACAGAATGGATTCTGGTTTCTCAGGTAAGGGTCTAAGCAGCAGCTGCATAGGCAAACAATAGCCATTATGGAGCCAACAATAGCTCATACGGAAGAACCAGTTTCACTGAGTAAAGGAATGGTGGCATCTGGGCACCAATGCGTTCTGCAAAGAATCTTGAGATCTATAACTTTCAAGCCACTAGACACAGGCAAAATGGACCCTGGCTCAAATATCACATACAGACGATGAGACACATACACTGTATGCTTTGATAGATGGCCATACACCAAGGGCGGAGTTTCGAGAGAGCGGGGGAGGGGGAACAGCAGCTGGGGTGCAGTTTGCTTTTCTAGGAGAGCCCTAGAATGGGGTGCAGTTTGCTTTTTTTCCCCATTCCCCTGACAATAAAGGGAAAGTACTTGGATTCCGTGCATGCTTCTCACTCCTGGCTGATGATGGGAAGGGGGCAGAGGAGTAAATCATGGAATGCAAGTACTTTCCCCATGCTCCCTTATCAAGGGAATGGGAAGAAATGCAAGCCACGACCCGGTGCGCATGGCTGCTGCACCCTCTGCTCTCTTGAAACTCTGTCCTTGTCATACACCATCAAATGATCCTGTGACAATAGATGCAGTATTGCCAGGTCACTGGGTTCCCTTTGACTTTTACTGGGATTTTCCTCATGAGAAGCAAGTTGCAATATTTTCAACTGTTTTGATAGCTACCAGACATATTTACACATTTTAGATGGCAGCTGTTTACAGACAAAACATGCTCAGCTCAGAAACATTCCTAGTCCACTGGCAGGAACTCAACTCTGTTAGCCATGGAGAGTGATCTTTTGCTTTCAGAACTCTCACTGGTTGCCTGAGTTAGTTACAACTGTTGCTTCCAACCAATCCATTTTTTAAAGTTGGCTTTAGAGCATTGTGGGCTGGCTCAGCCTAGCTGATCTGGCAACACTGCAAGTTGGCAGATGATCAAAGAAAGCTCTGTTGCTTTCATGTACCTATCATGATGCCACTCGTGTGGGGCACCGTGCTGCTGTCAAATGTCTTCTCCAGGGCAGCCACTCCGAATTCGTTCAGGTCCAGGTCATCCAAGGCAGATTCTGCCGGATACAGAGGTACCAATTATGTTACAAAGGACCAACAAACTTCAAGAGATAGGGTGACCCAAAGAGCCTACATACAACAACAGCCATTGTTGTCTTCTGGACAGCATACTCAGCCCTACTCTCAATTCTGCACAGTGTTGCTGTTAAATGATTCGTTATGACTCTAACAGGCAGCTTTTCATATTGGTTTCCATTGCCTAACCCAATTTCCCAAGATTTTAGATCAACTCATTCCCAGAAATTACATGAAAACAAACAGACCAGAAATAACAGCAATCCTCTCAGATCTCCCCCACACTGATGTTCTGGTTCTGCCCTTATGAAACACCTGCCCATGTTCTGTCTAGTGATGGCTAGTGCTGTATCATCAATGTACTGAGGAGAGCCCTAGAATGGACTAGCAGCAGCAGGCCGATTGCAAATCAGGTCTGAGGTTCAAAGACCATACAAGGCGATGAAAGCTTACACAGAGCCTGTCCAATGCTATGTGTAACCATATTATTAAAATATACCTTATCACAGACCTACAGATATAGACCCACATATATAGATCATAGACAGACAAATATATGCCTCCCCCTGCCTGCTGATTTGCTTTTATTGTTGTAATTAATTTACATCAGGAATGCTGGATCATGAAAGGGGATACAAAGAATCTGATTAAGAGAAGAGCGAGTCCCTTAGAGGAGCCCCCTGTTCTACACATCTGGAGACTTTGTACTATACTTGGATCTCTGGATGGGGGCAGGACACTTTTCTGGAAAAGCACTTTTTTCGGAAAAGCGTCTGTGGCCAATCTAAACGTGCTTTTCCGCAAAAAAGCCCCGATCGTCATTTTCGTGATGGGGGTTTTTTGCGGAAAACACTGCTGTGCTGTCTACACTGGCCTTTTTCCGGAACAGTTTTCCGGAAAAAGACTTTTGCCTGAACGGGAGCAGCATAGTTTTTCCGGAAAAGCACTGATGATTTTACATTAGATCGTCAGTGCTTTTCTGGAAATTCAAGCGGCCAGTGTAGACAGCTGGCAAGTTTTTCCGGAAAAGCGGCTGATTTTCTGGAATAACTTACCAGTGTAGATACAGCCTAGTTTCGCAGGAAGCATCAAAACTAGGAGGGAAGTGTGGGATAAGAAACTAGAGTGCACTATAACATCTCTCAACCCCATGGCTGCAACATGTTATTCCAATTCTCATGCCTGAAGGGCCCCGTCTAAAGGCCTCAGTCAGCATTACCTATAACAGACTCCACTGTGTCGCTGGTAGGGTAGAAAGGCAGGGCATTGGCGTTCATGCCTGGGATGCTGCTGGTGCCAGCGGGGCTTGGTGGTGTTGCTGCCAGACTGGAAGTGATACTGGAGGAGATGCTGGAAGTCAAAGGGCTGCCCACAGGAAGAATCCCCAATATGTCCTGAAACAAGAGGGGGAGGTAAGAAATTAAATATCTCCACAAAAGAATCACTTCAAAATCATGCAGAGATATGGCATCAGTCAAGCTACATCAGTGAATGTGTTCTTTGCTGATCTTTTCTGACAGATTGTTACTATCAATAGTGTGGGGGCAG